AATATGGATTTCTGTAGTTCAAGGATTTGCTTTTGAAAACTTCTAAATGTTCTTATCATAAATTTTTTGAAATCCGTATCTTGCATTTCTTCTATCTCATCATCTTCATAATCTTGGCTTGGGGTGTTTTGTTTATTTGGAGGCATCATAATGTCATCGTTGATCTTGTGCCCTCGATTTCTGTGTTTATTGCTTGGCATGGTTAATTCTGTTTCCCTCACTGTGAGTTTTTTTTTTTAATTATACTATGTCCATGTTAAGTGCACTGCCTGCTGATGGAGGAGCCTTGGAGGCTTGAGATGGGTGTGGCCTGAGAGCTCTGCTTGGTTCTTCAGGGTTACAGGTGTGCAAAGGTGACACCCTCAGGTTATGCATGGTAAATCTCTCTTTATTTATTTTATTTTATTTTATTTTATTTTATTTTATTTTATTTTATTTTATTTTATTTTTTGTTCAGGAGGTAAGTAATACTGCAAGGCTGAGCAGAATGGATGGTATTTAGCTTCGCTGGCTTCTACCCAAAGAGTCCTGCGGACTCCCACTGGGTTGCCTAGGCTACTGAATTGTAGTCTTAACTCTCCCCTTTTATTATGTATATCCCAGCTCTTTGTCTCTTGCTTGCCTTTGCAAGGTTGGTGGAGAGTGGAACTTTTCTGTACCAGTATGCCCCCACCTATTTATTTATTTATTTATTTATTTATTTTTCCTTCTCTCCTGTAGTCTGTTGGACTTTCCCACTTCAAAACCCGCGTCCCTCTAAAATTCTGTCTGCCGTTTCCCCGCCAATGTCTCCGGTTACTAAGCTCACCTCTGCTTCCAGCGCCGATGTGTGGACTTGGAGCCCTGGGCGTCTCTCCTCTCCCCGCTGGTTTCTTTGTCACATAGACTCCCCTTCCCCGAACATTCTCTTTTTAAAATTTATAATTGAGTAATCATGCCTCATACACTTATGGGATATTGTGTGATAATCTGATGTTTTTATATGATTTTAGTGATAAAATCAGGGTAAGCAGCATTTCCATCTCCTGATGCAGTTATCATTTCTTTGTCCTTGCAGTCAACAAGTTCTTCTCTTCTAGTTCTTTATAAGACCTATAAGAGGTTCTAAATATTTCAAATACTACAGTAATATAGAACACTAGAATTTATTCCTCATATCTAACTGTATTTTGGTACTCCCCCTCCCCTTCTAGCAATCCCTGTTCTGTTGATTATTTTCTACTTCTTGTGGGGTTTACATGTTCATGTTTTCATGATGGTAGTTTTCTTCCCTTTGTGTCTGCAGGACTCCCTGAAGCAGCCTTTGTAAGGGTGGTCTGGTGGTGATAAACGTTCTGTTTTTTCATGCAAAGTATTTCTCTTTCACTTATGGAGGACATCTCTGCTGGATATATTATTCTTGTTTGGAAGTTTTCTTTCAGAACTTGGGATGTGTCATTCCATTCCCTGAGGGCCTGGAAGGTTTCTGCTGAAGAAACTTGTTTATTCTAATACAGTTTCCCTTAAACATGAGTTGGCACTTTTCTCAGGCAGTTTTTAAAATTCTCTTTGCTTTGTATTTTTGGTCATTTGACTATAATATGTCACGAGGAGGATCTTTTCTGGCCATGTCTATTTGGGGCATAATATACCTTGATGTTTATATCTTCCCCAAGATGGGGGCCATTTTCAGCTATGATTATTTTTTTGCATGGTTATTTCTACTCCTTTCTCTCTTTTGTCTTCAGGTATCCCCAAACTCATATATTTGATAATTTAATGGCATTCCCAGAATCTTGGAGGTTGTCTATTTTTTTCTTTTTCTTTTTATCTGAGTGGAATATTTCAAAGATATGTGATAAGATGTTGGTTTGGCAGGCTATGTTGGTTTTGGTTCCAGTTGGGCACCTTAGTATAGTCTCGCTATAGTTTCTTCAGAGAGAGAGACAGATCTTCCATTCACTGGCTCACTCCCCAGGTGTCCACAATGGCTGAGACTGGGCCAGGCCAAAGCCAGGAGCCAGGAGTTTCTCTCAGGTCCCCCATATGGATAGCAGGGACTTGTTATCCATCTTCTGCTGATTTTTCCCAGGGTACTAGCAGGGAGCTGTATCAGAAGTGGGGTAGCTGGCAGCCCCCATATGGGATGCTGGCATTGAAGGTGGTGGCTTTAACCACTATGATACAATACCAGTTCCAGTTAGAACTTTCAAATTGAGAGTAACCCTTTGACTGGGTCCACCACCCTTACTCCTATTACATGCCCTTTACAGGGTTTAAATGGAAACCCAGTGTATTAACCATAACTTGGGATAAAACTAATCTCCAAACTCTATCTCCCCAGGAACACTGCTGAACTATTTGTTTGACACCTTCAGAATGCTAGCTCTTCTTTAAATTGCCACTGAGAACACACAGAATTCAAAGGTCAACCAGGAGTTTTTAAGTTTGAATATCTGAGACTCCTTTCTATTGCATTGTCTTAGAGAATTTTGACAATCTAGTCTCTGACTTTCTACTCCCTGGTCTACGATTGTCTCTCTCTGTGCCCTATGCCCTAAACACATCTTCTCTAGTGACTGGCCATAGGAGACTATATAGATAAATGTGATTCCACTCAGTATACTTCTCTTACTTACAGGAATTGACCCCTTCCTGTTTCTGCCTGCTTTTATCTCCCATCCAGTGCCTTCAAACACTTGTTTCTATCATTACTGTGAGAAGACATGGGATGCTCCAAGTTCCTCAGATATTAACAGAAGTTAGGCAGATATTCACAACTTTGTATCTTGATTCCTTTTACTTTATATTTCTGGTATATATTTCCCAATTCCTTAAAGCATTCTTAATAAATACCTTTCATGGCCCAAGACTCTCTCATTGTGTGAGCGAATATACCAACATTAATTGGGTATTCACCTATTTCAGGAAGTCAGATATTTGGATGTGAAGTCAAGAGCTACACTGAACATGTCTGTATCAAGCTTTTTCACAACTTTCTAGGTGCTTGGAAAAGATTTCCAGGGGTGAAATTAATATCTATTGTTAAGCTTTTTTTGAATCACTTTTTCACCTTTTAAAAAATCTATGATTGGTTTTATGTGTAATATTGATGGATTTCTAGTTTTTTAGAGTGGTGTTGCAGGTAGTTGTTTCAGTTAATAATTTATTATAGCACAAATTCTCATGGTCTATGACAAATCTGAAGCAAAATTACTTGCTTTTTAAGAAAATTTCAAATTGATTTTGGTTACTTCACATGTATTATCATTCACTGGGTTTTCTCAATATATTAACACATTGAAACAGAATGAAAGAGTTTTCTTTTTTTAAAGATTTATTTATTTGAAAAGCATAATTACAGAGAGGGAGAGACAGAAAGAAAGAGAGAGGGCTTCTATCCACTGGTTCACTTCCCAAATGACCACAATGGCCTAGGCTGGGCCAGGCAGGAGCCAGGAGCCAGGAGCTTCTTCTGGGCCTCTCACATGGGTGTAGGGGCCTAAACATTGGGCCATCTTCTGCAGCTTTCCCAGGCACATTAACAGGGATCTGGAGTGGAAGTGGAACAGCAGGGACTTGAACTGGTGCCCATATGGCACCAGTTGCAGGTGGCAGCTTTACCTGCTTTGACACAACACTGTGCCCATCTTTTCTTTTTCTTTTTTTTAATTTTTTTAACTGAAGAATAGTTTATTGTTGTAGAGCAATACTCTGGAATTTCTTATAGTATTTCCTTAATGTTTACCTCTTTTATGCTTCATTTTTATAATTTATATCTTTGAAAGGGGGGTTCCTCCCTTCTGTTGGTTCACTCCCCAAATGCCCACAACAGCTGGAATTGGACCAGGGTGAAGTCAGAAGCTCAAAACTCAACCCTGGTCTCTCACATGGGTGACAGGGACCCCACTACTTGGGATATCACCTGCTGACTCCTAAGGGGCTCATAAGCAGGAAGGTAGAATCAAGAGCAGGTACAGGCTGGCACTGTGGTGTAGCAGGTAAAGCCACCACCTGCAGTTCTGGCTTCCTATATGGGTGCTGGTTTGAGTCCTGGCTACTTCACTTCCAATCCAGCTCTCTGCTATGGCCTGGGAATGCAGTGGAAGATGGCCCAAATCCTTGGGCACTTACTCCCCACGTAGGACCTCTGTTCTCAATGAGATATGAGACTTAACAGTTTCTTTCTTTCTTTCTTTCTTTTTTTTTTTTTGACAGGCAGAGTTAGAGAGAGAGAGAGAGAGAGAGAAAGGCCTTCCTTTTGTTGGTTCACCCCCAAATGGGCACTGCACTGTGCCGATCTGAAGACAGGAGCCAGGTGCTTCCTCCCAGTCTTCCATGTGGGGGCAGGGCCCAAGCACTTGGGCCATCCTGCACTGCCTTCCTGGGCCACAGCAGAGAGATGGACTGGAAGAGGAGCAACTGGGACAGAATCCAGTTCCCCAACCGGTACTAGAACCTGGGGTGCCAGCGCCGCAGGCAGAGGATTAGCCTAGTGAGCCGTGGCACCGGCCTATGCGACTTAAGTGTAAAACCAGTTCTCAAACAGTTCTTTGTGTGTGTGTGTGTGTGTGTGCAAATTGTTGAAATCTTTATTATTATAGAGTTGATCTTCTGTGTACAAAGTTAATTGAAAATGAATCTTAATGGAGAATGGGACTGTGAATGGGAGAGAGAGAAGGAGGAGTGGTGGGAGTGTGGCTGGAAGGGTAGGTATGGTGGGAATAATAACTATATTCCTAAAGTTGTACTTGTGAAATTTGTATTCCTTAAAAATAATTTAAAAAATGCTAGTAACAGAATCTCTTTGAGTGTGATGAGACCAATTCATTTTTGTTTATAGACAATGATCACATAATGTATATATCTGGTCCCAAAACTTTTTTTGTATAACTGTGCTTACTACATTTGCATCTTGTCTGAGGTATGATAACTCTAATTTCTTTGGCATATTATCATTGTCTTTTCAAATGACTTCAACTCCTATTCTAATACAACCTTTTCCCTTTCTTTCCTTTAAGCAAAAAGAAGAGAATATCCATTGCTTAACCACACTTGGCCATTTTGGTTTTGAATGTTTGCCCTACCAGTTGGTAAATAGGGCTCTCCATCAAGGATTCTCTTTTAATATTCTCTGTGTGGGTAAGCGCCAAACATCTCATCTGAATTTCTCAATGTTATGCTCATTTCAATTTTTCTTTTTTTATTTATTTTGACAGATAGAATTATAGACAGTGAAAGAGAGACAGAGAGACAGAGAGAGAGAGAGACAGAGACATTTCAATTTATCTTAAGCCCTGTCACATTGGTGCTGTTAGTTTAAGACCATGTCTTAATGCTTATGTTGGGTTTCTTCTTTTTAGTTATATTACTTAAATACATTTGAATTTAAACACTTCAGTGATGTTCAAAGCCTATTGCAGCTTAGTGTCCAATTTCTTTCTACACCTCATTAATGACTGAGGGAGTCCTGGTCAGCATGTATGTTTTCAAGGACATCCCAGTCTCTGATGTATTTGGGACCCAAAATTTATTTATTTTTTAAAATAATATTTTCCAATGAACAAATCTTAACTGTATACACTTATTAGCTACAACAATGTTTTGATTTGTGTATACAATGTAGACTTATTAAATCAAGGTAATTAGCATACTCATTGCCTCCTTTACCTATCATTTTTTATGGTGAGACATTCGGATTTTACTCATTTAGTTCTTTTTCAATATAAAGTATATTATTACTGATTCTGGTGCTCCTGTTATACAACTTATTCTCCTTATCTATTTGAAAATTTATGTCCCTACTTCATCCCCACTCTCTAGCATCTGGTAACCATCATTCTACACTAATCTATGAGTTAAACTTTTTTAGATTTTGGGGGCCCTTTAAATCACTGTAGAGATCTAGTGTTACTTCTCAGCCGTCTTCTGCTCCTGTGGTGATCCAGCCATGTTTATTACAGGGGAGACTGGAATTGGAAAATCAATGCTGATTGAAACATTGTTTAATACCCATTTGAGAGATAACAAATCCTCACATTTTTACCCAAATGTTGGACTTAAAATTCAGACACATAAGCTGCAGGAGAGCAATGTTCAATTGAAACTGACTGTTGTGAAAACAGTGGGATATGGAGAGCAAATAAACAAAGAAGCCAGGTTGGTGTTTTCTTATTTCAATTCAGCATTTTCTTATTTTACGAGTTTTTCCTTATTTTTCCATAGATGAAATTGTAATATTTTCCTAAAGTGATTGATGCATTGGCTTCCATGTTTTAATTCTTTCCTAATTAAGTAACATTCTCTTCTTATGAAATTGATAGTTTTCTATCCTGTTGTCTGATTTCCTTACAATATATTTTTAAAAGATGTATTTATTTGAAAGACAGAGAGAGAGAGAGATTCCCTACCCTGATTCACTCCTCAAATGGCTGCAACAGCTGAGACTGGACCAGGCCAACGACAGTGGCCAAGAGCTCCATGCAGTCCCTGTGTGAGTGGGAGGGACTCAAGTATCTGAGCTGCCTTCTGCTGCTCCTCAGGTGCACTGGTAGGGAGCTGGATTAGGATCAGATTAGCTGGGATTCAAACCAGGCACTCCGATATAGAATGCAGGCATCCCCAGTGGTGGTGGTTTAACCCACCCTGCCACCACATTGGACTCTCCTTATATTTTGAATTAAACAATGACAGCAGTAATGCAATGTAGTTTTTAATGTTCTACTTTATTTCCTTGTTTCTCTTGCTATTGTGGAGACTTTTTATAGTCATGTGCCATATTTAAACTGTGAATGAGGGAAATAAATGATGGCATAGCAATCTTTTCAGATTCATATCCTACTTAGAGTTAGCTTTTGAATCAAAATGTGGTTCACATATTGCTTTGTGGGGGATGCTCCTAAGCTGGCTGGCACCTAGAACTTAGCACTTAGAGCTCTGTATTCAAGGGCATTATGCAGGTGGCTTGAAATCAACAACAGGCCAGTGTTAACCATCACTTAGGACATAGACTAGCCACAAATGCGGTACTTAGTGAATATTTTTCAAAATGAAAAAGATCAAAGAAATATGAAGGACCTTCAAAGTTCATACAAATATGTATTCTGAAAATTTATCAATTGATTTCATTTTTTGCACCATAATTATCTTTTAATTCCATTTTCTATGAACTTTTTAAAGTACCCTCTCATGTCTTTACACATTATTTTCCATGCAGGCATGATTGACTTTTGAAAATGACAATCCAGAGAAATAGTGCCATTAGTAACTTGTAAGTAGCTCTATCAGCAATGTCTTTAATATATATGTCTTTAAATTATGTTTGTGAAATTTTCTGTGATGAACACACATCTGTCACTGAAATGGCACTGCTCAACCCAGTGAAATCTTACAAATGTGTACTATGTATGTGTATTTAACATTTTTTTTTGACAGGCAGAGTGGACAGTGAGAGAGAGACAGAGAGAAAGGTCTTCCTTTTGCCGTTGGTTCACCCTCCAATGGCTGCCGTGGCCGGCACGCTGCAGCCGGCGCACCACGCTGATCTGATGGCAGGAGCCAGGTGCTTCTCCTGGTCTCCCATGGGGTGCAGGGACCAAGCACTTGGGTCATCCTCCACTGCCTTTCCTTGCCACAGCAGAGAGCTGGCCTGGAAGAGGGGCAACCGGGACAGAATCCGGCGCCTCGACCGTGACTAGAACCCAGTGTGCCGGTGCTGCAAGGCGGAGGATTAGCCTAGTGAGCCGCAGCGCCAGCCTGTATTTAACACTTTTAAACATATATTACAGTATTGTTAACCAGCCCATCCATCCAAATAGTACTGCTCTCAATTGCTTTATTATTTCCACTATTAATAATTTAATACATGTCTTTCAATATTAATAGAATCTTCGACTAACAAATCGTATTGCATACAATTATGAGATACAATTGATGCTTTTGTATCTTTAAACAATGTGGAATGATTAAACTGAGTGAATTAATATGCCCATCACCTTGTCAACTTATTTGTTTTTTGGGATGAGACATTTGAAATGAACCCTTAGCAATTTCAAAATAGGTGATATGTTGTTGTTGACTGTAATCACTGCAAGGTGTAAAGATTTCAAATTTATTGCTCCAGCATATCTGAAACTGTGTATGCATTGAGTAACAACTTGCTATTCCTTCCTTTCCTCCATGCCAGCCTTTGTAGGCCATCATTCTCCTCTCTGAGGTAAGTTTGTAAACATTCCACGTGGGTTCTGAGACTGTGTGGTATTTGTCTTTCTCTGACTCAGTTAACTCAGCCTGATATCCTCCAGGTTCATCCATGTTGTCCAAAGTATCAGCCTTATCTTTCTAACAGCTGAATGGTATCCCACTGACCACATTTTATTTCTTTATCCTAAATGGAAATGTAGGTTGATTTCATAGTTTGGCTCTTGTGAAAACTGCTGCAGTGAACATGGGAGCAAGTATTTCTTCAACACACTTTACTTCATTTCTTCTGTGCATGCACCTGGTCGTGGTAATTCTGTTTTAGTTTGTTGAGGGATGGCCACGGTGTTTCTCACACTGTCTGTACAATTACACTTCCAGCAGTGATACGCAAGTTCTCTTTAGACTGTATCCACAAAAACATGTTATTTTTCATCTGTGAAAAAAGCCATTCTAACGGATGTGATGCTGGCAGCTCACTGTGGTGTGAATTTGCATTTCCCTGATTTTTTGGGGTGGTGTCCAGCCATTTCCCATGTGCATGATGTTCACGTGCATGTTTTCATTTCAGATATGTATGTTGAGGTCCTTTGTCTGTCTTGTCTCTACCTTGTTGTTTCCTTTGTTGTGCAAAAACTTTCATTTTGTGTAGTCACATTTGTCTGTTTTGTTTTGTTGCTTTCAGGTTACTATCAAAAACATTATCACCCATGCCTATGTTGTAGAGCTTTTCTCTTATGCTTTTATCTGGTAGTTTTACACCTTTAGGTCTTATATTTAAGATTTTAATGTATTTTGCGTTTATGTGTGTCTATGGTATGAAATAAGGATCTAATTTAATTCTTCTGAATGTGGATACAACTTTCCCCCAGACCATTTGCTGAAAAGATTGTATTTTTCCCATTGTATGTATTTGGGCCCTTTGCCCCAAAGCCGTTTTTTTTTTTTTCTGTTCTGTTAGTTTATACATCTGTGTCTATGTCATTATCTGACAGTATTTTTTAAGTGATAGTATTAATTTTTTATTGCTGCTTTAAAACATTACCAGGAACTTAATGCTTAAAACAGTAAAATTGTCTGATCTTAGTGTTTGGGAAGTCAGAGGACCAACAAAGGTCTCATTGGGTCAAAATCAAGGTGTCAGCTGGGCCGTGTTCTTTCTGGACTCCATAGGGAAAAATTAATTTTCTTTACAAAAATAAGTTTTTACACTTGATCTTAGCCTAAAGGCTGAGAAGTGATATATGACAATAATTAAAACAAATTTTAAAAGGCACGTAAAATTGTACCTATGTGTGGGGTAGCATTGATGTATCGGGGTGGGGGATAGCTAGCAGGAAGATTGACTGCTGCAGCACCAAACACGCCAGATTCCATGCAGTGGAAAATGGAAGCTCCTGCAGTTTAGGCACTTACAACAGGTGCCAGCTGGAAATAACCAACAGGGCTGCCAACTGTGTCTCCATGATGGCCTTTAGCTCATTATAAAGTCATTGTAATAAACTCACCATGGTTGGCACCCTACTCTCATCATGCACCTGAAGCCATGACACTTCTGAGATTTCCCAAAAAGGTCAAGGAAATGAGTGGTACTCAGGTCCCTCCCCCAACCCTGCCCCCTTTGAATATTTAATTAAGTTCTGCCCCAGACAACACCCCATGCCTCCAGTTCACATTAAGTGGTGGGCTCAAACCTTGTTGGTACAGTTCTTTCTTGAGTGTGCTCGCACACCTTCCTGAATGTATTGAAAATATCTTTATATTTTGAATCCATGGAAAAATTACTCTTGCTTTGTCCTTTTTACTTATGTCTGTTTTGGCTGAGGTCCTTTGTGGCACCATACAAATATTTTTCTTTCTAAGTGAATAAAGACACTGGCAGTTTTCTACATATTTCCACATCTCTGTCACAGAATTCCCACACTCATGGTGTACATGGATCCCAAACTCACAAGGGGCAGGGGGTCCCCTCTCAGCCCACGAACTTGCCCCCTGCAAAGAAAGAGACAAGGTGTTCCCAGAGCCAGCTGCCTGTCAGTATCCCACCCTGGCAGTCTGATTCCTGGCACCTGTGATACAGTGAGGGGGGGAGCACCACCCAGGCCAGGCCAGCTCAGATTCAGTGGGGACCACAGATTTATTCCTCTCACATAGTAATGTGGTTGCACACAGGTATGAGCCACAGCAGCCTCTACTCACCTTGTTAAGATGGTGCTTCCTCCCTGATAGTCACTGAGATGGCTTGGAATTCAGCAAGCATGCAACACCAGGAAGTGCTGCACACTGCAGAGTTCACCTGGGCCTGTTTGGGGGACACTAGGGTGGTTAAGCTGCCTGAGGGGTGTCTTTGGGTGACAGCTGGTGGCTTCAGTTCCACTTCACCAGGGGAGGGGAGGAGGTAGGACAACTCCTGGGCAGTGGGCTCCATGGTGCCCCCTTCTGGGGATGCATCCCTTGCTTTCAGATCTGCAGGGGGCAGGTTTGACCTCAGAGGCTCAATGAGGAGCCTGGATCCTGACTGGTCTGGCAGGCCTTTGGGCTGTAAGGGCCACAGACCCTTCTGGTGAGGCCTGGGCACTGGGTCCAGGGGCTCAGACAGGGGCCGCCCAGCCAGACAACGGCCATGCAGTGCTCCGTTTGTGACCATGAAGGGCGCAGCAGCCCCGAGCCCCTTTCTTCCTCTCCACTCCCTGCGTTTCACAGCCCTCTTCAGGGCACATCCTCATTCCACAGTCCAGGGCTGCCCTCGCCCCCCAGTTTCCACTGGACCCTCCTGCTGACCCGGCTGTGTAGCTTTGTCCCCGCGCCCCTGCCCTTGACCTGTGCCTCCCCTTGCTGCACCCATGCCCCCTGGAGTATAATTTTGGCAACCACTTGGACTTTTCACAAAAGCACCCTTTGAAACACCTTTCTCCCCAGCACTGGTCTGATAGAAGATGCCTGTTGTGGAAGCTGCTTTGACTTGCTTGCGCCTGACACTGTAATCTCAGGAGCACTGAGCAACCCCAACCGGGAGCCCCCCACCCAGGAGGAGCAGGGCTGTGCATTTGCATCTGGTTCCCTCCCTGCAGATGTCCCCAGCCTGGCTTCCCTTAGAGAAAGGATTCATTCTTGCTGCACATTCATGTTTGCAGGGTGGAGTGTAGCTTTCTCTTTACAAAGCCCTTGCTCCTGGTGGGAGCTGGTGGGGGTGGATTGGAGGAGCGCCCCTCTCTTTCCCCTCCAGCCTAGTGAAATAGAAATCAACAGGAAGAGAGAAGCCAGTTAGGGAGTTTGATTGAAACTGTTTAACTTTTGCTCTGCCTGTGGAATGCACGTTCTCATGTGTGAAAACTTAACCCAGATGGTAGACTACTGAATTATAGGATGACAATTTTTAATTTTAGACTCCACTTTTAAACATTCCTCTAGAAAGAAAATATGTCCTTAAAATACAGCTGTCATAGTTTAGGTCACATAATGTGCAAGCATGTCACAGGAAGACTAGCACAGAATCTTACTTTCCCTGCTGGAAGATTTTCTGCTGTCTTCCTTCTGGTTGCCATTGCACAAGTCTGCAAGGGAATCACAGGTTTTGCTCATGTGTTTCCTAGCAAAGAAGTAGCTGAGGGCACTGCTTATGGATTAAAGGATCTCACTAGCATGCTTCAGAGTGTTTTAAACAATTGAATCCTGTGCTGCAGTCTCTCTAATGGAGGGACCGATCATGATGCAGAGCAGCAGTGCCAGGTAAACCGTGTGAGTACGGGCTGTAGTTTATACAGTGTGAACACACCTTAGTCATGCAAGTATATTGCTGTTTATACTACGTTCACCTGCATGATCCCTTTAAAATATTGTTTACAATTTTTACACCACATTTTATATTACAGTATATATATATATTTTATGCTGCACACTTATCTTCAAATCTCTGACAACCTAAAACTGGCAATAGATATGACATTATTTCTTTACTGACAAAGTGCTTTTATTTTTATTGAAAATATGAATATTTTAGGAACAGTTGATCATCTTTTGTGTTATTTAAATTCTTATTGCTTATTTTGATGCTACCTAAGATGAAATACTACTCATGAAATTAAAAAAATCAGAATGATATTTTCAAGATTTTGTTTTAATTTTACATTTTTGTCTTCACTGGCATTAAATTTTGGCCTGTTTCTCAGTAACATAAACAGCTCAGTAATAAAGGGAAGTAGTCTTCAGTATGATGTGTGCTGCACTACCATATATATGGAATGGGTGCACAAAGACAGTGCTAGGGCAGCTATGGTAGAAGATTTATGAAAATTGATGAAACTGCACCTATAATTGCATTCGTAATGTCTCTAAGCCACAATTCTGATGTATTGTACTTGATCAATGAATGTGTTTACTATAATCATAGTTTGGTTTAAATATGTAAATAATATCTGTAGGATTTTTATGTGTTTGGGATTTATAGTATTGATGGGGAATATTCTTGAACCTCAAGAGTTATTACCAATGTGTTATTTTTGTTTTTATAGAATAATTTAAAACAAGATACTAATTTTATAGGTAATATTTAGAGATTTTATAATTATATATTTCACAACCTATTAAAATGTTTTTATATTGGAGCTTTTTTTACATTGTTGTAACATGCAACAGACACTTGTTTGTTTCAAAATAATTCATTCATTCAATAAATGCTTCATGTTATGGACCAGAAACCACAAGACTCTATGGATTCACAGAAAATGCACAGTGTTTGTTGATAGGCACCTAAACATTAGAAATGGAAAAATGTGAATTATCTTCTATAAATATTTCTTCTTTTAATTATTTGAACAAAATCTTTGGATTCAACCTAGAGCAGAGAAACAAAATGACTAAGAATAATTACTATATATACTATAATTTAACAACTGAAGAAGTAGACCAGTGGGTGATGGAGACAACTGGTGAGTTCACGGACATGAAGAGTCTCCTTGGGATAAGGACACACTGGTGGCTGTCCTGAGCAGACACTGTGGAAGTGCAGTCCTTGGAGACACTGGACACTGTGGGCTCAGTTCCTGGGCAAGCTGTGAACTCACAGGAGGTCAGCACAAGCAGGACCATGAGGGGATGATGGAGAATAGAATTGTCAGGCAGGAGTGTAGCAGCCTAAGAGAGGGTGGGGTCCAAGACTAAGCACAGGTTAGGTGAGGCCTGAATGACTGTCCTGGCAGGAGCAGGGCTGGGAGGCTTCAGGCTCCTCTGTGTGGGAGGAGCTGTGTCATTTCCTTAACCCTGATGGTCACATGCCCTGGCCAGGCCAGCAATGGTGTGGGGTTATCACAGTGTGAGTCAGGGTTAAGGAGCAGAGAGTGGGACCCTGTGGGGCCTCAGGAGGGTAGGACAGGCTGCAGGGACATGTTTGCCATGACTTCACCCTGTTTAGTCTCCAATGATGAGGGCGGATGGCAGAGGGGGGATGACAGATGGGAGGTGCCCCCATATGACCCTCTGAGTGACAGAAGCAATGTCCCTGAAGTGAGTTCTCCCACCTTTCTTCTTGTATTACTCAACCCATGGCCTGGTCAGCAGCACCTGGTAACCCAGCTGCCTGAGACCTTGGGAAGTGGTTCATCCTTGGAGCCCCTGAATGTGGTGATGTCTGGGGCAGTGTGTGGATCCCTGCCCTGCAGAACACACCCAGCACCACACCACAGTCACCTCCACCAGCCAGGGCCCAGCTTCCTCACAGGACCCTGCCCTTGGCCTTCCTCCATCCTCACCTCCAGGGGAGACCAGACAAGGGTTATGAGGAGACTGGTGAATACAACAGCAGCAATGGAACCTGTATACCTAGGAACACACATGGGCTTGTGCACACACACACACACACAGGCTCACACTTGTCCCCAGTGGGATATTACAGCTCAGGTCCCCTGGGACAGGGAGAGTAGTGAGGAGCTTGCCACAGCAGGACCCAGGAGGCTCCACAAATCCTGCAAGGCATTCACTGTCCCTGCAGGAGCCAGAGGCAACCATGCCCGGCCGAGGAGCTGGAAGGGGCCTAATGGTGCTGACAGTGAAGGTGTCCCCCAGATGTGGATGTCTTATCTGGGAGCCCTAAGGATTGTGGGTGCTCCTGACCCCATATGCTTATTGTCAACATCAGTGTCTGTGTGGTCAGCACCAGTGTCAGGGGCTGGTGGTGAAGTCACAGTGACTCAATACTTCACCTCTTGCCTGTGTCAAGGACAGAGTCTCTGTTCCTCCTGCAGAAAGTCTGGTCCCTGATGGCTCAAGGTCCCAGGCAGGTGGCAGGCAGCCTTCCTCACCCCTCCACCTAGTCTCTGGATTCTGATATCCAACAGCAACAGCAGCAGCAAGGAGAAACTGGGAGGCGGGCAAGAGGCACAGCCTGGATCAGCAGTGCTAGGGTAAGCCTGTCATGTGGCAGGAGGTTGTGCCACATGGATTCCCCAGTTCTGGTCATTGCAAGGGTAGGCAAAGTACGGGGACCTCAGGTATTGTATGTTAATTGTGAGGGCACACATTGCACTCATATTAATCCAAAATGCAAGTGCTCAAAAGTCAATACAAAATATAATTGTAGAGTAGGAAAAGGAGGATGGAGGGTGGAGGGTGGCAGTGACCTGGGACATTGTCCAGAGAGTGACAGAGGGAACCGGGTCTGAGCCCATGACGTATCTCCTGCACATCTGCCCTTTTCTCTTGATTCCAGGAGAGACCACAGGCCCCCTGCTAGCGGATTCTTATTCCTCAGGAGGTTGGGAACCCTGACCCTGAGACCTGCTGATCTAGGAGGGTGCCATTGTGACTGCGCTCCATGATGTCATCATTGCCAAGCACTGCTCCTTCCATATTCTACAGCAGTTAGAGGCCACTCCTGTGTCAAGTGACCGGCTGAGCTGGAGTTTGTTTTCTAGGCAGCAAGCAAGTTCAGGACACAGGGATGGATTCAGGTCCAGGTGAGTGGGACTTGCACTCTTCATGTCATGATGATTTGGGGACAGGTTGTCCCAGCTGTGTGGGCCTGGCCTCTCCTGGCTACGGCAAAGGGCCATGCTGCCTGAGTGTCTCTCTCTCTCTCTCTCTCTCTCTCTCTCTCTCTCTCTTTCTAGCATGTTTTCCAGCTTAAAAACATGAAAAATTTGATTCTTTCTGAATACTCACAATGGAGATGTAGAACCTGAAATTAACTATGCCACTTTCAACTAATCTGAGAAAATGAAATGCTTATGTATAGCATTAACAAAATATGTGTAATATTGTACACTCCAAATAACAAAATACTGATTTTAAAAAAGGTGAAGTACATCTAAAGAACTGGAAACTGTACTGTGCCCGCGGATTACAGGATAAATGTAATAAAGGTGCTGGTTTCCCCAAATTAGTAAATAACTCTAAAGCAATTCCATCATTATCCCAGCAAGATTTTGTAGGTCTAGGTGAACTTATTCTAAAATTCATACGGAGAGTTAAGACAGTCTTGGGAGAGTGGGAAGAACAAAGTGGGAAGATTCACTGCAGTCAATGTCAAGTCTCACTCTGTAGATGCAGTAATCAAGAATTTGTGACACTGGGAAAAGGACAGACTTAGACAAACAGAACAGAGAACCTAAATAGACCACACAAATATACTCAATTGAAATTTTTTACTCAGTACCACAGGGAATTCAAAACAGAAAGGATAACTTATTGAAAAAGTGGAGTTCCCCTGCCTCTGTTACACATCAGAGTGCCTGTGTTTGATGCCCAGCTCTGCTCCTGACTCCAGCTTCCTGCTACTGCAGACCCTGGGAGGCAACGCCAAGGGCTCAAGTAATTGGATTCCTGCCCCTCACATGGGAGAGCTGGAATGAGGCCCTGGCTCACTGCTCTAGCCTGGCCCTGCCCCATCTGCTGCAAGGATTTCAGGAGTCTATCCGTGGATGGAACATATCTCTGTCTCTCCCTCCTGTGCTGTCACTCTGCTTTTCAAATAAATATATAGATCTTTAAAATATCTTTTAAAGGAAAAATACAGGACTCCAAGATGAATTTTCTCAACAGTTTATTTAATATTCTATGCAATATTTAGATGCATTTGCATTTCTGATCAACGAGATTAATTCACATGTCAGATGAATGGAAAAAAAAACATAACAAATATATTGCATTCCATGGAACATTTGGGATATGATTACACTAAGAGGACTTTCAATGTTTATGTAGCATGCAAATGGAACTGGGCATTTGCTACTATTGTTTCAGGTACTTCTGTTTTTTTCTTGGCTAAATGTGGCAGCCCTATCAGGCTAAACTTGGAAGTAGGGCCTTCTCTATACCTATTTCACCTATGGCAAGTTTTAGACTGTCTTTTTTCCTCTCTGTAAAGTGGGGGTGATGACTTTTATTTTGCAAGGCTGCAAGCTTCCCAAATCACACAGCTCCACTAGCTGTTGGTGGTGGTGAATGCTTAGCAATCAACATGCATGTCTGGGGATGATGGGTGGATCACTGAATCTTTTTTTAAAAAGATTACTTATTTAAAATGGAGAGAGAGGGAGAAAGAAGGAGATGAGGGGGGAGAGAGAGAGAGAGTGAGAGAATGATCTTCCATTTGTTGGTTCACTCCTCAAATGGCTAAAACAGGGCTGTACTAGGTCTTGAGCCAGGAACTCCACTGGGGTTTCCCATGTGGGTGGTAGGGAGCCAAGCATTCAGGCCATACCTCACTTCTCTCCCAGATATACACCAGCTGGATCAGGCACAGAGCATCAGAACTTGAACCAGTGCTCTGACATGGGATGCTGGCATCACAGGTGGTGCTTTAACGTGCTGCTTCACAACACAAGTCCCTAATTAAATACATCTTGCTTGTTACTGTATCCCTGGGTTAAAGCAAGTGAATACTAGCAATATTATGGGCAAATTTATTTTTCACTTAAATTTTGCATGTAGACATTTATTTGAACAGCAGAGAGCCAGCAAGCTTTCATCTGATGGTTCACTCTCCAAATACCCACCACAACCAGGGCTCGGCCAGGCCAAAGCCAGGAGCCAACAACTCTGTTCAAGGATCCAATCACTTGAGCCATCACTGTTGGTTCCCAGGCTGTGTATTGGCAGGAAGCTGGAGTCAAGAGCCATTTGCAGGACTTTACTCAAGCACTCCAGAGTGGGACATGGGCTTCTTAAATTCCAATTAAACATCTGCCCCACAGGTAAACCTAAATGGCCTGTGGAGTTGGCAGGGCCAGTGTGATCACACCCTGTGTGACATGACAAGTGATAGAAGTGGAGGAAGCAGCTCCAACATCCTGGCTTTGCCTTCACTTTAACCACCCAGCTGGCTTTTCTGGGATCAACTGGGTGCTCATTTCCTCCACTAACTGAGCTGGGACATTTCCCAGATGCCTCCAGGCTGGTTTTAAAAGAGATGACAATGTAAGCATAGGTGTCATTGCCTGTGTCTGCGGTAACTGTTTACTGAAATTCTAGGAATGAACTTTTGCCAACACCTGCTCAGTGTCAGGGTTTAGGCTTTTTATTATGTTATTCATTTATTATTATTATTATAAGAAAGAGAGACATAGATATCTTCCAACTGCCGGCTCAATCTCCAATGCCTGTAAGAGCCAGGCCATGGCAGGCAACACCCAGGAGCCTGGAACTCTATCTGGGTCTCCCACATTGTTGAGCCATCAACTGCTGCTTGCCAGGGTGTGCACTAGCAGGAACCTACGGTTGAAGGCAGAGCCAGGATTCAAACCAAGGCAAGAATGCTCTCAGGCTTATTAATATGAAAGATTTTTAAATAAGCATTTAGTGATAACATATGGCACCTCAAATTTCAATACCATATGTGGCATCCCAGATGGTGCTTCTGGGGAACTTAAAAGGGCCACATTTTGATATAATTTTAGGGGGTCATTTCCAGTATCAGCAGCACCTGAGCTGCAGCAAGCCATCATGTGGTGTACACAGACTCACCATCCCATGGCACACAAGGCTCTGGAACCCCCAGATGGAGGTACCCATGTCTGAAATGAGCACATGAGATCAATCACATTTCTTGTTTTAAAAAAAATTTTATTTATTTATTTTGACAGGTAGAGTTACAGACAGTGAGAGAGAGAGAGACAGAGAGAAAGGTCTTCCTTCCTTGGTTCACTCCCCAAATGGCCACTACAGCTGCGCTGATCTGAAGCCAGGAGCCAAGTGATTTTTCATCTCCCATGTGGGTGCAGGAGACCAAGCACTTGGGCCATCCTCCACTGCCCTCCTAGGCCACAGCAGAGAGCTGGACTGGAAGAGGAACAACAGGGACTAGAACCCGGCACCCATGTGTGATGCTGGCACCACAGGCGGAGGATTAACCAAGTGAGCCACGGCACTAGCCCCAATCATGTTTCTTATATGCAGCTGCCAGCAACACACAACAGGCATCTGTCAGTGTAGGCCATCCCTTAAGAAGTCTCCTGGGGAGTCTGTGTAGGGAGATAGCAGTGATACACCAATGGGTGAATCAGTGGACTCCTTTAGCAGTGCTAGTCCATAAGTCTACTAGATGTTATTCTAATTCCCACATGGCAAACAGCAGATACTTTCTGCAGGTAAGCTTTATCTTTGCCTTTTTCATATGATCTTGTATGTGGAGAACACTCAAGATTCCTCAATAAAGCTGGTACAAAAACAATCCAGCAAAGCTGTACAATACAAAATAAACATAGAAAAAGCAGTTGTGTTTATATACAAAACTGAACAACCTTGAAGGGAAATATAGAGAACAGCTGGATTTGCAATAGCATCAACAGGGTAAATTACTTAGGAATAAACTTAACCGAAGAAATAAAATATTTAAACACCAAAAACTATAGTGTTAATGAAATGAATTAAAGATGACACAAATAAAAAGCATTTTAAGAAGTTAGTACCACACTAAATGATCTACATATTCAAAGCAATCCTTCTAAACACATCAACATTTCATTTTAGCAGAAAATGTTAAAAACAACTTAGAATTCATATAGAATGTAAGAGGACCCCAAACAACCAAAATAAGTTTGAAAATGAAGTACAATGTTAGAGGTCTCACATTTCCTGAATTCAAAACTCTCTACAAATCAACAGCAATCAAAATAGGATGATACTGACATAACATCAGATACACAGACTAGAGGCATAGAATAAAGAGAGAACCGGTGGGCATTTAGTCTAGCAGTTAAGATGCTGGTTAAGATTCCCACAATTAAATCTCAGCCTGGGCTCCTGACTCCAGCTCCCTGCCAATGCACACCCCTGGAGGCAGTGGTGATAGCTCAAATAATTGGGTTCCTGCCACCAACATTGGGAATGTGGATTCTGTTTCTGGGGGCGTGGTATTGTGCAAGCTCAGATTTGGCCATTGTAGGCATCTGGGCAGTAAGCATGCATGTAGGAGCTCTCAGTCCCCACCTCTCAAATTAAAAAATTTAAAATTTAAAAATTCAGTTAATATTATACTCACTAGTAAAATAAAGGAAAGTCAAGATATGATAACCCCATAAATACAAGTTTTGTGGTTTTTTTTTTTTTTCTAAATCTATCTTATAGTAAAACCCTAAACAAATTAGGAATTGAAGAGAACTTCTGTCAGGGAAAGGCCACCCATGGAAAAATCTACAAATGCTGGGGCTGGGAACAAGAAACAAATACTTTTACCACTTTTATTCAACATGGTAATGGAAAACTTTACTAAATAAATCATGAAAAGAAAAAGAAAAGTCTTCAGATTTCAAATGGAAACAGTAAAATTGGTTTGCATTGTTCAAGACATAATCCTACATATAAAAGAAATACTGATGAATTTACTATATATTCAAAGTAAAATTCAGTAATCTTTCAGGGCATAGAACAGATGTAAAAGTATCAATTGTATTTCTGTGCAATAATGAATATTCTGAAAAAACAGCAGCATTCAAAATGGCATCAGAAGGAAGAAAAA